AAAATCATACCTGAGTGTGGAGTGAAGTCCTCTACTTATGGGTGGTAGTCCCGTTGATCTCGCGACGGTTACACCCGGTAATCTCGGGACCGATGGTTACACCCGATAATCACGCCGCTAACAGCTGCTCACCTCAGACCCGCCGAGCTTCTTGGTAGATCGGACCTTGACCAGGTCGCACCTCGGCCCTTATACTTAGCACCTGTCAACGCTGGTGGTGGCAATCTTGACGGTMCGAGTTGGGCATGACTCATGAGTCATCCTAAGCACTAATAACTGTCTTCCACGTGTCTAGGGTATTTCGTCCCCAGACACAATCAATATTTCACATTGTTCAAAAAACTTTAGGGCGGTTACAAGCTGAATTTTGCATTTGTCGTAGAAAAATAAGTAATATGAAAACGTTTTTCACAAACCACCAGTCACATCTGACTTTATATAAATTGATATATGGCAAAACTAGGGCCTACATATCCGATCCACTTGTTGATTGAATGACTCTGACTTTTATCTTTTAAATTTTTAGCTACACTTCATTTTCAAGTTTTAATATCCACCTCATATCTTCGACAATCAATATGAAAAAAGATCATTTCAATGGATTTTTAAAATTGGTATGCCAACTGATAAACTATCAAATATAAATTCAAAATACTTTGTAACGATATTATATGATGTTTTCTTTTGTTAATTAGTTACAAATTCAATCTCTGAGTTTACTTTTAATGATCTTACCTTTTTTTAGTCTTAAACTTAAAAAAAAAATGTTAGTTACATGGGCATGTACTTTCAAATTTTTTAGTCTTTATTATTTACATCATTGTTTAACAAAGGTTAGATTGTTAAAGTTTCCACGTAGAAAATATCAACGAATTTAAACAAAATTTAACTATTACCTGTTAAAAAGGTTAGATTGTTAAGGATTCTACATGGGTAACATTCTTTCGAATTACTGGTCCGTTTTATACCGTCAGAAGACCAACTTGCTGATATTATGACGGAAACCTCTTCCAGTTTAGCATTTTTGCAGCCTATGCACCAAGCTTACCGTTCTCAGCCCAGTTTCGCTTGTGGGGATGATAGAATGTTATTCCTCTATATATTTAATTGGTTTACTTTTCAGCATTTTACTACCGTGATAGTTGGTTTTGCATTGGCCTATCATATGGCTCCATGTGTATATGCTCCATAAGATATATTCTAAGGCCTGTGACCTCTCTGTTTTTTAGTTGAATATTCTAAAACATTCTCCCTAAATTGTACAGTCTTCTTCTCCAATACCATTTTATTATATAACATTATCCATCGAATGCATAATTTAATTGGTTTGTAAAATCCTAAAAAAAATTTATACACAACAAAAACCTTTAAATCAAAGCTATGGTAATATTTCTACAAATTTATTTTGTGTAACTGGTGGGCTCAAATATTGTGATCCCAAAAAAATATCCTATTTTAGTTTTTTATTGAAAAAATGAGATAAAAAATAAAACAAAAAATAAAATCATTAAAAATTGTAAATGAGAAATAACATTTTTTTTTATATATCTAAAAAGTTGGAGGGCAACAATCTTTGCTCGTTTTGAACTCCGATACCATATTGATATTCATGGGTTCCATTTCAAAATCAATTGTCAATGAGAGAAAAAATAATGTCTATTATAAACCTTTATTAGACTCATTATCTTTTCAATATGGGATCTCTAACAAACTAGAGAAGGAGAAGATCATGGATAGATATGTGAGGGACAACGTCTATATATTATGGTATTAGTATGGAGTCTTTAGGATGAAACAAAAATCAAATATGTAAGAGTTATATTCAAAATAGACAACATCATACTCCGTCGGAATGTGCAATAATGAGATCCTAAGAAATCCTATATAAAGTTTAATATAGTTTAAAATACTGGTTTCAATCATTTACTTGGATAATTGTCCTATTTTAGGCCATGTATTTTGAAAATAAAAATACTTAGGTGTAAATTCAAAAACTTAAAAACTTAAGTGGATGAGTTATGATAAATTTAGTCACAGAGACGTGACACTTCCCCTCATTCGTGGAGTTGAAAATTTGCAATGGACAAACCAAAATAATTAATATTAAATGACAATATAGGGTTCGAACGTAGAACTTTCTATTCGGATACTATCTTAAACATATAGTCAAATCACTTGATGAGTTGTATTGACACTTTCATCGATAGAACGGTTTGATTAATGAATCGATCGCGAGTATATGGATCTATTGATCCTTCCTATTTCTTGTTTCAATCTCAACTTGTCCTGATTTAATAACTCGACCTCAGATCATTTCCCTTAGATCCCCTTCATGAGCATGGGAGTTGTTAGAGTTGCATTTCCTCCAACTCAACTTCCATGTTCATACATACAGAGAGCACAGGAGGGCCGAAGACAAAAGGTTAAAAAGGAGACGACGAGAGAGGAAAAAAAACCATTTTTTCTTTTGGTAAATTGTACCAACTACAACCACAAATTGTAGTAGTTGTTACGATTACATCTCTCCAACCTTTTTCCTTATACTCTTAAAACTTTCATAATTTTTAGATTCGTAAATTACAATCTAAATTGCAATATAATGGTATTGTTAATTCTTCCTATTTCTTGTTGGAGTCGTTTGAATTTTTGGTAGATGATGATACGTACCAATCAATTACTACAGATGTGGAGGGAAACCAGTGGCGCCGGCGTATGGGACCTCCCAAACCTGTGTTGTGTTGTGATCGGGTAGCACTGTCACGTGCACCACGCCCCTCTACATTTGTACCACAAGACTATCTGTGGTCTCCGCGCCCCTGCCCTTCATTTCTCTTTTCAATTATTTCATTTCACACTGTTCAAATGGAAAAACATGATTGGAGCTTCGAACTTGACTGGTTCACCTCTTGATTTAGAAAGGTAATGAAAATGTGTCTCACAACCACCCACCGGTCCCATCTCAATTTGATGCAAACAAAAAAGCGAGTCAATTTCTTATTTTACTGTCGCATTAAAAAGATAAGAGGCCTAATAATAAGTAGGTGGACGAGATGTCATAGAAAGATGTTTAGGGATAATGGTTGTAAGTTCAATACAAGGTAAATGGATCATAGATATTAATATGATATTAGAGTCCAACAATTTAAACAAGTATAATGTTCAAAAACCAGATTCGACCGAGATTGTTAAATTTAAAAAAGACATCCTTAGAAATCTTATATTGAAAAAATAAGAGATATCCGATAATAATTTTTAATATAAGTGGGACTCTACTTCTTAGAAATTTATTTTAAGATTAAAGCATATTAACGTTGAAAGCAATTGGTCAAGATTTTATCTTTTTATAAACATTTTTGCTTCCCCTCCCTCTTCCCTAATCAGTTTCATTTCACCGTTCACGATGAGTTGAATTGCCGCCCTGTGACATCATCGGTTGCGTCATTGACATTGACGCCTTCAATTACATTAGCCCCGTCGCAATATCTTCTTTTTAACTTACCTGTTTTAGTCTCTTTTAAGTTTCAGTGCTAAACAGCTTAAAAGCTTCGATAATATTTTAGTTATGTTCTCGGTATTTTTATTTTCGTGGGTCTTTCCTGGCTATTATATTGCTATATTATTGACAGATAATTTGTATTTGACTTTTCTTGGTGTTTTTTAATCAATTAGGTGGACAAGTGTTGGTGACTCACCTCAAGTCTTTTTATCCAACTCATATGGGTATTTTTACCCATCCAAGGGTTCTGATTTTTTCAATCTTTCTGGAATTTTTGTGGGAGCTGGGTAC